TTACCGTACCTTACGTATTGCCATTCAGTCTGGCATTTTTAATTTGTAGCTGTAGTGATGGGCGAAAGCTAGAAAGACTGCAAGAAAGGGGACTGAGGGCTGTATATAGAGACAAGCATGCAAGTTATCAACAACTTCTTGAGACGGCAGAATTACCAAAACTATTGAATAGGCGCCTACAGAATATTTGCATCCTTATGTTCAAAGTGAAGTACAATCTATGTCCAATTTATATCTGTAATCTTTTCAATAATCATAACGCTTCTTATTCTTTACGACACTCGGATTTCTCTATTCCTTGATATAATACTGTAACATACGGTAAACATTCTTTAAGGTCTCTTGGGCCTAGGTTATGACGAAAATTACCTCCTGATTTAACATCAGCGAAAACTCTGAACATCTTTAAAAGCAGAATTTGTAAAAATGATATAAGCTCAATGATAGATGGTGGATGTAAGCGCTGACCTCTCTGCACATCATAACCATTTAATTTTACAATTCTCTCACAGTTATTTTAGATTATCATTAGAGTATAATATATTATGCGTAGTTTAAATATTATTTACATTTATATTGTATAGGTAATTCGAGTTATTTAATTATAAATTGTGTCCCCAAATTAGTATGGGGTTGTTCCTAAGCTATACGGCTCCGACACATTAATAACGTTTTCTATTCTATTATATTCAGTATTGGTTGACTTTCTTTGTCTCTAAGCGTCGACGTTATAGCTAAACTGGCCAGTAGAAGCCTAGCATCGCCAGAGGCGAAATGGATGCTGGACAAAATACCCTGGACAGTACTCTCTAAGGTGCCTTGAGATCTGCACAGGCGGTCTTGCTGCTACGTGAGGATAGTAGGCTTACAGATGTATTGCTGTTTTAACTCTTTCGTAAGACGTTCCTCTTTGGCAGTGATTGTGGTATAAATCTATAAAACATGACAATCATGACGTCTAAGAAATCACTTTAGCAAGACGTAAATAACACTATAAATTCTGAATAAGGAACTCTGTTCTTTTCAGGTTTGATTTCTTTAGTGGTATTGTTTTGTATAATTTACTACTTTTATGTGCACTGAACAGAAAATCATTGATTCAAGGGTATTTAAACTGTATTAAATCCGAAAATGTCCCGCGAGTAATACATTAGTTATTCAGTGGCGGATCCAAGGATAGGGTCCGGGGGGTCCGACCTGACGCTTATTTGAAACTGAACTGGCTGATTTTTTTCAATGAAACGCGCGTTACATTTTGCCAAAAAATATATTCCAAGGATGTTCAAAAATATAATTGTGTTGGGTACCCTCCTATGATCTGTACAGCTCTCTCGCAAAGCAGTATTTCCCGCGCCAACGCAAACCGGCGTTCACAGATTGAGAAACAAGAGGTCGTCTCTGCTTTCTCAACTGCTCGATGGCGAAAACTCGGCCGATAACCTCTTTCTATTAACCAGTCGTCCAGTGAAATTAAAAAGGAAGAGAGTTAACGGTAAAGAAGCTGAAGCTGAAACCATGGAAAGAGAAAATAAGGGTAAGTTGTTTAATTTATGCTTTTAATTCTATTTCCTGAGAAATGTTAGTGAATGACTATGGTTTAGAAGCAAGAGCATTTGTACGTTTGTACAAAAAAAGGATGCATCCTTTACGAGTAGAATTCAATTACACGGTAAGGGGGCCAAGGAATTGTAACGTGCAACCGCGACTGGTGGGAAGGGGTGTGGTAATATTATCGCTCTTGCTAAGTCTTGTCAGTAACTTCGAAAAAATTATAGCATATAATTTTTAAGTAATGATATCATGCCATTAATTCTTAGAATTCTCGGGTATAGCCGGGCTTTGGAGTTTACTGTTCTCGTTGTCGCAACCTGAACGGCTGTCTGTCCCAGTCAGTCATAGTAACAAAACCGCTTACATTGAAGTCACAGTCTGTGACTTCGCTATTTAACCAGAAGTTATTTTGAAGCAGTCTTTTGATCACAGTCAGTGCGCACGAGATAGGTATGACGATTAAGAGATGACGAGTTGTTCGTTGTTAATGTAAATGACTGTAACGTACAGGAAATCCAAACTAGACTAAAAATTTAGTTAACACATTAAGATTTTTGGTTAGAAACAGGGCAATGATACAACTGATGATTTCCTTAAAATGAATAATACTGCTCATTAATCAAATTCAAAGACTGGTGTCTGATTTAGGTCAATATCTGAACCAACTGAATGCTTGTCTGTGCAATTGGCCAGCGATTCTACATTTCTGAGTAGGATAAGTGTACTAAGATGCATTTCTTCCAAAACATAGAGACACTTTAGCAACTGAATTTCGTCACTAAAGTGAATTTTTCTGCGAAGAGTCATGAGTGCAAGAAATAGCATTCAACACAAATCCCATATTTCATTTGCCATTTATATCAAACGCTTCATTCAACGATTTTATGTAGTAGACTAGTTTAGGTGAGAACTACTAGTCATGTCTAGGAACATAAAAGATCAAAATTCAGGTGTACATGGGGTGGCAGGATTTCTACAGTCCATACATGACCGCGCAGCTATTTTTTCTGTGCTAGTTATCAGTAGCTCTTTTTTGCAAAAAAAACAAGGCATACATACCTTAAGATCAGAGAAGAACTTATTAAAGTCGGCGTGAAAACACTTCCTATTGAAAGTACTCCGAACGACACTTCAGGTTTTTAGTCAGCAAAGATGAATTGGAATGCTCACAAATAGACCTAGGGTGTCCAATTATTTCCGAGAAAGGAGGGCCCGAGCGCGCAGGGTAAAGCTTACGTTTGAATGATAAAACAATAAGGGAAAAACTTCCGCACAGCTCTTACATTTATTATTCAGCTAAACTGTTTGAGTGAAATAGTATGGTAAAAAATCAATTCTTTGTCATTTCGGACTCTCACTAGGAATGAAAGAGTTACTTTTCCGAATCCGTCATTGAGCTGAGCGATGACAGAATTTGCTAGAATTTGGTTATTCTTGCCTTGGCATTGGTATTAAAGAAGTACTCTTACCTCAAGTGCGGCAAACAACTCAACAAAGCGAGTGCAAGAACCTCTTTGACCACGATATCTCCACCGACTGCACTTCCGCCTTGTTCAAGGAAACTATGTTGGTCGTAGAACAAATATTTTTCTTCTGAAGGAGAGGAGAGGGGAGGGTATACCTGACTTTTAACCCTTTTGGTGACGGCCGGCGAGTAGCGTAGAAACCGCATTCTTCACCAACTCCTCTTCTTTGGACTGGTTTTCGGTTAATTAGGATAAGAATGGCTAAAAACAAGTTTTTCAAGAAAAAAAAGTAAAATTCCGAAAATAAGCCCCTCCAAATACCCCCAAACCGGTAGCGCAAAAACCCTCCATTAAATCACCCTGCCAAATATAAGCCCCCCGGGGGCTTTTACTTGGAAAATTGCCCTCAAATACAAAGTAAAACAAAGCAAAAACGATAAATTCACTTCCAACTATAAGGCTAGCCCAATCGATATTAAAACGCGACTTCCCTCCTTAAATAAGCCCCTCCGAATATAAGCTCCATCCATTAAATCACCCTGCCAAATATAAGCCCCCCGGGGGCTTTTACTTGGAAAATTGCCCTCAAATACAAAGTAAAACAAAGCAAAAACGATAAATTTACTTCCAACTATAAGGCTAGCCCAATCGATATTAAAACGCGACTTCCCTCCTTAAATAAGCCCCTCCGAATATAAGCTCCTCCAAAAATACGCCCCTCAAAAAGGGCCTTCGGAAAATGAAAGCCCTGGGGCATATTTTCGGAATTTTACGGTATATTCCGACTAACTTGACTTAATTAAACAGCCTTTTTGTTTTTCACTCATGCGCAAAAGCCAAAATTTCCCTTCTTGCTCCTTCTTTATTGCCCACTTTATTGTCTTTCTTTTGCATGGAATTGTGGCTGGCTACCTTTTTAGGAAAGGGATAAATTTAATTTCAAAGAATAGTATGTAAACAGCGAAATAGGAATTGTTTTTTCCCCAAAATGTTACCTTTTTTGTGAGTGTAAACTAGTGTAAGTCTGTCAGGATTAGTCAGAATATCCAAAACGAGGTATCGCTGAAAAGTATAGTTTTCAAAACTGTAACAGTACTTTTGAAAATGTATGTTGAGTAGCATACGAAACGTCAAGTTTATAAAAATGAGGAAGTTAAACATGTTTATCACCACTGCTTGTGTTCTATTCCTTTAAAAGCTGAAGTATTTTGGCCATTTGAAAAGAAGTAAGGGCTTGGGAAATATCATCTTGAAGGGAAAGATAGATGGGAAAAGAGAACGAGAAAGACCGAGAAGGTAATGGGGAAGGAACATACGGGATGTTTTCGATATTTCCCTGACAGAAGTGAGAAGATTGGCAATCGACAGAAACTGTTTCCGCTGTGTGATCAAGGATGCCACGTAAGCAGTTAAGAAGTAGTATATAGCAAAGAAACGATACATTTTCATTGCATTGCGCATCCCTTACAAGACACATGAGTTGTAAAATAACATATGAAGTTATTATTATTATTATTATTATTATTATTATTATTATTATTACTATGGTGGTGGTGGTGGTGGTGGTGGTGAAGTCGCGTATTGGAACGGTGGATGCCCACGACCATATAATAATGCAATCAGCGACAAAAAAATAAACTTTTGAAAGCTGTTTTACTAAGCTGGAACAAACGCTGATGAATCGAGGTCAGCTACTAGTTAATAGCTGTTACTGGTATCTTAAAAACGACTTGATGGACTCAAGCAAAACTGACAACGACAGTTTGACTTACAATAAATGGGCTTTACTTCTAAAATATGCCCGGGCTGAAACGCACCATTCAGATTTACAGTCTTCAAAGTCAATAACATTACGGCTTAACTCACAGACGACATTGCAGTGTTATTAACAAGGCCAATAACTACCACAAAAGGTTGTCGAAATATCAGTCACTGTCTATTTACCGTGTATTTAAGACCACACTTACCCGTATGATCATATACCTAACTATGTTCCAGCTGTCCAGCTCCATAAATTTTGCGATATAACAAATTGCCGACTCGATGTGCAAGTGATGTACGACGCCGAACATGTATCACAAAAGGACTGCCATGAATGTGAACACCACGTAAGCACACGTTCAACATGTAATCTCCTGACTCCGCATCTTCAGGGACCCCGCAAAAAGCCCAATAACTACCATCACCACAGTCCGTTACATTTCCTGTACTCTTCCCGTTACCAAACTCGTCTTTAAGCTTCACCGTAAACAAGTCGCCACCCACAGGCCGCCGACGGTTTTGGGGATCATGAGCAATAATATCAAAGAAGCACCCAGCTCCACAGCTTACCCAACGATATTCCATGCCCTCTAGATCTGCAATTGTATTTTCCGCGCAGGTTGAATCGTCAGTGACGCTAACCTTGTTATTAAGCGCGTCCACTAGGTCCTGCAATCTCCTACGATTAAAGATAAGCTTCGGGACAAACTGGACCTGTGGCTCAAGCTGCATTGGCTGGCTTTCTCTGTCCCTGAGCGTCGACTCTAAAGCGGACCTGGCAGCCAGAAGCTCAGCATCATCAAAGGATCGGATGCGGGATAAAACACTCTGAACAGTACTCGCTATGCTTTCTTGAAATTTGCACAAGCGGTCTTGCTGCTCTGCGAGGATGGCTACCTTGTTATTGTATAACTGTTCCAGCTCTTTCGTCAGAGTTTGCTCTTTGGTAGTGATTTCAGCATAAATCTATAAAGCATAACATACAAAGTGTCTTGAAAATTACCTAAACCGTGGATCAAAAAAGCTAATATGAGGGAGTCTTACGTTTTGAATACTGTTTTATTGGTGGTATATTGATTTGCATAATTTGCAATATTTTGTGGGCGGCATAGAGAAAACCATTAATTCAAGGAGCGAGAAAAACGACAGAATTTGTCCGCGTACAGACTCTGGGTAAGTTAAGTTGTTGCTTTAATCTTGTAAAAACGCCTGGGATACACCCTATAGTGGCCTATACGTTGAGGCTCCGCCCGAAAGGGGTACCTTTTTCAGGCTTCAGGTATATGAAAGGATAGCGGTTTCACTAGTTGAAGTCAAGAGCCATAATAGTCCTACTATGATCCCTTGTTGAAGTATATAAAAAGGGTAGGAAAATCTCTCATTGCAGTCTGTGAAAGGACCTAGAAGGGCTAACAGATGCATTTTATGCTGTAACAAAGACAAGAAAACATCATTGTGTAGTGATTTATTCATTTTCAAAATACGCTGCATTTACAGACTAGGTATGTGAAAGGGGTACCATTTGACAATGAAAGGTATACAAAACAGATACCTTTTTTTACTACTGGGCGGAGCCTCCCCGTATGAACTTTTATATTGAGTACCCCCCTCTCCCCCGGTTGAAAAGGGTGAAAAGAAATGCGTCCTCCGGTTTGAAAACGCATACATTTTGACTCGTTTTTCCCTTAGGTAAAAACCAAAAAATATTAAAACGCGTTTTCAAAAACGCCCTCATTTATGTCTATCAGTGTGTTGATAGACCAGTGAATAAATGGGGTAGTAAAAACGCCTGGCACAGACGTAACATGCTATTAGTAGAAAGAAGCGTGGCAAATTTAGTCATTACACTCAAATGATTACTTACTTTTTTAAAAAACCGAGGTCATTATATAGAGTAACGCCACTTTACAGCTCTATAGAGTCTTCTATGAGAATACTAAAGTACGCGAGGAATGTTTGAATCTTTTTTGCTATGTTTGGGTGGAAGGGTCTGTAAAATAAGGGGGAGCCCACCTCCTTGAATAACTTATGAATTTCGGCAGCTTGCTCTCCACGCGCCTTTTCCATGTAAAGACGCGCTTTCACCACTCGAGTTTCTCCATCTTTAATAACCTCGGTGCGAGCGTTAACTTTGGTGGCAAGTTCCTGCATTTCCTTACGGCACTTTGAAGCAGCCTCAGCTAAGGATGAACAATCATGACCTTGGTGATCAAGCTTGATGCATCCCCTACAAACCACGTGACCGCAGACCTCGTCGAATAAACGGAATCGCTCTTTATGTTCCTGGCAGAAAACATTCACAAGTGACGTCTCCAGGGAGACAACTTTGTGATCACAACTTGCTTTGTTGCGAGTGTGAAAGTGAGCTGCATCCTTACACATGTCCTCCTTACAGTCTAAGCAGAAAAAGGTCGCGGGATGTTCATCATCACAAGCTTCGCAGGTGTATAAGCCTTCACCTTCTTGGTGATGGGGCGTGACATTTTCGTTAATAATGCTCAACAACGCAAAATTCTTAGGTAGGCCTGCTACTCCAGTTTGAGGTACGTTAACTTCATCTCTGCATGTGGGACAGGGAATTTTGTTCTCTGCAGTGAGTAAACGCTCCAGGCAGCAGGTACAAAAGCTGTGACCACAACTCAGAATACGAGGACAAATATTTTGATCTTCAAATGGTTCGCAACAGACTGGACATTCAAGTACTTCTGAAGACGCCATTGCC